CCAGGGCGAACACAGCGGCCGGGGGCTGAAGGCCGCTCTGGGCTGTGGCACCCAGGCCACTGGCACTGGGTGAGCTGCCTAGTTGGCCTTTGCTTTGGGACGGAGCCGCTGGTCTGTGCCAGCCGCCACTGGCGCCCTGGGCAAACTCGCACCTGGCCTGCCGCTTGCAGTGACATCGGTCCCTAGAAAGGGTGGTTGGAGCAGCCGTGAGGAGCTGGTGCTGCCGCAGCTCGCAGGCTCTGTGCGGTGCTGCGCAGTGAGCCCCTAAAAGCAGCCAAGGCTGGAGCGTCCCTCTGCGCCGCCCCTGTCCCCTACCTGTCCCCATGCGCTTGCCGATAGGTGGCAGTGCCGTATCTCACTAGAGGACAAGTCCAGGGGACGAGTGTCCCAGCCAGCACCTGCTGCCCAGGTGGGGCCTGGGGGCTTCAGCGCGCCCAGCACCACGGCAGGAGGGGCCCTCGCTGCCCGGCTCTGGCAGCCAGTGTTACATGTGCCCGGCTGAGTTGTCCCTCTGGAGATGTCTGGTGAGTTTATTGCTCGCTGAGATGTGACACACGGTGCAGCCAGGCAAGGGCTCTGTTCCAGGGCTGTCTGGTGGAGCGGCAAGACGATGCACTGCGATTGCTCTTCCTCCAGCTGCCCAAACTCTGTGCACCCCCGGGCAGCTTCCCAAGGGCTGGCACTGCCACCCGGGACAAGCCAGCACCCAGTAGAAATGGGGAATCTCCAGCACCTGCACAAGAGAAACTTGCCTTCGCAGACAGCCTTTCCTGAGAAGCAGCTGCTCTTTGCCAGGAAAAGGTTAATGGGGAGCTGCATCCCCAATGCAGGGGGGGCCTTGGGGTGACCAGATGAGACCTTAGCAGCCACTCACAAAGCCCCTTTCTATGGGTGACTTAGACCGTTTGTCTGAATCCCCATAGCAGCACTGTCTAGTGTCACCAGTGTGGGAACTGGAGAAAAGACAGTGGAAAACCATTTCCCTCACTTAATCAGGTGTAATCATCCAGTGATGGCTGGAGGGACAGGTTTGGGGACTGGGGAGGGGTCATGGGCATATGTTCCTCATCTACAAAAGCAAAGCAGGTCCCTGGCCCATGTGCTGGTGCACATGTGGTGGGAGAGACCCTTGCTGGAGGCTGCACAGCACAAGTACCGGTATTCCGATTTATTCACCTGATCCTTGGCTGGCCACAGCATTCCTGGCGCTGGGCAGTGCTTGTATAATGGAGAAGTCCCTCGCTGCCATAGCCAAGAGGAGCTTCCAGCATCCCCAGCACCAGCTGCCCATGGCACACGTAGTGAAGGCTCCTACAAAGTCCCGGGTGGCCAAGCTCCCTGCACATGGGGTGGTCAGCGTGCCTGAATTCCTTGCTGAGGCCAGCAAATGGATGGGAGATACAGAGGAGGATGAAGGGGAGAAGACTGAAAAGGGGTGAAAAGGAGAAATGGAAAAAGGGGTCAGAGGGAAGAAGCTCTGTTCCTGTCTGATCCTGAATGGGACAGAGTCCATGGAAAAACAGGTAGTACTGGGATTTGAATAAACCCTCCATGGGAATACTGGAGACTTCTGGAGAGAGACGAATTTTGCTTATAGGCTCTTCCTTGTCAAGGTAACCAGAATGAAAAGTAGAGTTTGAGCCTGTGCACAGGCCAGACACTCGGTAGCTAAATCCTGGCCCAGGAGATGGAGCTGCCCTCTGCTCCTCTAAGACAAGTTGCCCCCAGCCCTCCTGTGCGTGTTGTTTTATACCAGTGCAGGCCCTGTGGGAAATCAGTCAGCGCCTTCCCTCTCTTGCTCCCAAACAGCGGTAAATCCCTCTGTTTGATCAGGAAGAAACAACACGCGACCTCTGCCCCTTGGCCATGGCTCCCTCCATCCCTCGCTCCCTGTCCTGCCGGCCCCGCTGCCCGCTGCAGCGGGATGGTGCCGAAGGGAATTCCCACATGCTCTCCCAGCGCACTCCCTCGCATGGCGCAGCCCCGCAGGGGACGAGGGGCGTCACGGGCGGGTGCTGCCTCCCGCTTGGCCATGCAGCGACTTCCCTCCATTGTGTTTCTCCTCCCTGGCGGCTTGGCCAATCTGCGGTCTCCCACCACCTCCCTCCCACCGTCTCCACTGGCTGTTCCTCCTCTTTGGAGAGCTTCATTTCCGCCACAGGGCTCAACGGGCGCCCCAGCATCGCGAGATCTTGCTCAGTTCCTCTGTCCTCTCCATCAGATCAGGGGCTTTGGGCAAGGCGGTCTGCAGAGGGGTCCCTCCCACGAGTCCCCTGCCCTCCTCCGAGTCTGGTCTTGCTGGGACAGCTGGGATCTGTCCCAGGAAAGGGGCTCACTATGGTGGACATCTAGAAACTTCCCTGCTGGGGCACATCAGTCCAGCACATCAGCGAGGCCCTCTCGGCACCCCGGGCCCTGGATGAGCAGCAGCTGTGCGTGGATCCAGCTCTCGGATGGGGCGAGCTGGGCTGGGGAATGCACACGGATATCACTGAGCAGGAGTGGGGTGGCATTTGGAGGTGCTCGGTGCTGCTGATGCCTAATAGTGCTGGTGCTGCCTGGCATTGCACCTCACCGCACGGCCACGGGATTGCTGCTTGACTGTCCGTGCCTTGGAGACCATCTGCAGCTACCGACACGTGCAGAATGTCTCATGTCAGGGCTCTGCTCTTGTCCAGGGCCTCTGGGCACCACTGGAAATGGAGCAGCTTTCTACTCAGCAAGCGCAAACTTGGAGGGGATATGCCAAGCTGGGACCTCCCCTCACGCACCCTGGCTTTGGAGAAGGTTGCACTGTGGTTAAGACTTCTTTAGCTTGCACACCAAGGCATGAAGTCACAGGCCCTGTTTTTGCAGATGACAGTCTGCCAGAACGTGGAGGAAAATGCAGTTCTTTCCTATGGCAGAGACAAATCTGAATTTGAGTGCGGTTGCGAAGGGATAACATTGCCTATCTTTGTTCTGGGCTATCCTGTTTCTACCCACGAGACTGCAGGGCCTTAACCACTTGTCTCCGACAGCCAAGAACGGAGCCTGGGCTTCCTCTCCCGCGACACCTTGCTGCCACCCAGCAAACAATCGGCTGGGTGTGCCGCATCCTCTCCATCCTCTCCCAGCGCGGCCGCGCGGCCTCCCCGCCT